CACTGGCCTCTGGCGAGGCACGGCCACACGCTCCATCGCGGTACCTGCCGTCCCAGGCTCCAGTCCACAGTTCCAGTCTCAGTCCATCACCTCCTCTGCCTCCTTTCCATCGTCTTACGCTCCCACCAGCTCCTCTCCTGATCACCTGCATCCCCTTGCTTACTCTTTTTACTATTTGTTGTTGACGACGACGACGAAGACGACGCCGACGACGACGAACAGACTCACGACAAACTAACTCATCCTCTGCGTCCCGGGTTTCGGCACCACGTGTTTATGGAATCACAGCCATTCCGTTCTCCGGACGCAGGACACAAAGGACAAGACTAGTTTGTGTTTTACATTATATTAGTGACAAGACGGAAATGGAGACTGCACTCAAAGGGACGAACAAGAAGACTGACAAAAGGACTCTTGACTACAAAATCGTGCATGCTCATATCACACATGCACGCGACTAGACGAGACAGTTTGGGGAATGCCATCACACAGGAAAACAACACATCATTTTACAACAAGGTTTTACTATATCTGCTGTTCTCAGTCATGGCAAGTAGTGATGTTCAAAATGAAGTTCAGTATCAACGTCATGCTTCCAACACCCATCAGTCATGGCAAGTAGTGATGTTCAAAATGAAGTTCAGTATCAACGTCATGCTTCCAACACCCACCAGTCATGGCAAGTAGTGATGTTCAAAATGAAGTTCAGTATCAACGTCATGCTTCCAACACCCACCAGTCATGGCAAGTAGTGATGTTCAAAATGAAGTTCAGTATCAACGTCATGCTTCCAACACCCACCAGTCATGGCAAGTAGTGATGTTCAAAATGAAGTTCAGTATCAACGTCATGCTTCGAACACCCATCAGTCATGGCAAGTAGTGATGTTCAAAATGAAGTTCAGTATCAACGTCATGCTTCCAACACCCACCAGTCATGGCAAGTAGTGATGTTCAAAATGAAGTTCAGTATCAACGTCATGCTTCCAACACCCATCAGTCATGGCAAGTAGTGATGTTCAAAATGAAGTTCAGTATCAACGTCATGCTTCGAACACCCATCAGTCATGGCAAGTAGTGATGTTCAAAATGAAGTTCAGTATCAACGTCATGCTTCCAACACCCATCAGTCATGGCAAGTAGTGATGTTCAAAATGAATTTTTATTTATTTATTTTTTACAAATATTGTTTTTATTCCATTTCTCATTTTTCATTCGTGTTGGGTTTAACTACTCACTGTACTGATACATGGTGATGATTGTGCTTTGCTTTGCCCGTAAAAGAGGCCTTCCCGATAATCAGTCATGGCAAGTGGTGATGTTCAAAATGAAGTTCAGTATCAACGTCATGCTTCCAACACCCACCAGTCATGGCAAGTAGTGATGTTCAAAATGAAGTTCAGTATCAACGTCATGCTTCCAACACCATCAGTCATGGCAAGTAGTGATGTTCAAAATGAAGTTCAGTATCAACGTCATGCTTCCAACACCCACCAGTCATGGCAAGTAGTGATGTTCAAAATGAAGTTCAGTATCAACGTCATGCTTCGAACACCCATCAGTCATGGCAAGTAGTGATGTTCAAAATGAAGTTCAGTATCAACGTCATGCTTCGAACACCCATCAGTCATGGCAAGTAGTGATGTTCAAAATGAAGTTCAGTATCAACGTCATGCTTCCAACACCCATCAGTCATGGCAAGTAGTGATGTTCAAAATGAAGTTCAGTATCAACGTCATGCTTCCAACACCCATCAGTCATGGCAAGTAGTGATGTTCAAAATGAAGTTCAATATCAACGTCATGCTTCGAACACCCATCAGTCATGGCAAGTAGTGATGTTCAAAATGAAGTTCAGTATCAACGTCATGCTTCCAACACCCATCAGTCATGGCAAGTAGAAACTTAGATTGTTCCAATACAATTCAGAACTAAAAGCGCTGTTGGCAAACAGAACATTGGTAGTCGTCACAATATTTCCATGTTTCATATGACTCGTGACAGCTCTGCACTGCAGTTTCCCTTGCGGTGCAGTTTCTTTGTTATTCAGGCTGATGTCGCTTTCACGGGCATGTTTTTTACTGAGGGTAAGGCGAGGATTGATTATGACTCGTAGGGATGAAACGATCATCCATTTCTTCTTATCGAGTACCGTTTATTATAAACGATCGAGTTATCATAAACAAGTATGCTGGATATGTATGACGTATCAAAATGATGCTGGTCTCCGGAACATGATCATAGTGCATGCATGACTTGTGCATACGGTAAACACACACACACTAGTAGTACTACAGTAAAACCTGTAATGGCGACCACTCGACCATGGCGACCACTCGGATATGGCGACCACTCGACCATGGCGACCACTCGGATATGGCGACCACTCGACCATGGCGACCACTCGGATATGGCGACCACTCGACCATGGCGACCACTCGGATATGGCGACCACTCGACCATTGCGACCACTCGGATATGACGACCACTCGACCATGGCGACCACTCGGATATGGCGACCACTCGACCATTGCGACCACTCGGATATGGCGACCACTCGACCATTGCGACCACTCGGATATGGCGACCACTCGACCATGGCGACCACTCGGATATGGCGACCACTCGACCATGGCGACCACTCGGATATGGCGACCACTCGACCATGGCGACCACTCGGATATGGCGACCACTCGACCATTGCGACCACTCGGATATGGCGACCACTCGACCATTGCGACCACTCGGATATGGCGACCACTCGACCATGGCGACCACTCGGATATGGCGACCACTCGACCATGGCGACCACTCGGATATGGCGACCACTCGACCATGGCGACCACTCGGATATGGCGACCACTCGACCATGGCGACCACTCGGATATGGCGACCACTCGACCATTGCGACCACTCGGATATGGCGACCACTCGACCATTGCGACCACTCGGATATGGTGACCACTCGACCATGGCGACCACTCGGATATGGCGACCACTCGACCATGGCGACCACTCGGATATGGCGACCACTCGACCATGGCGACCACTCGGATATGGCGACCACTCGACCATTGCGACCACTCGGATATGGCGACCACTCGACCATGGCGACCACTCGGATATGGCGACCACTCGACCATTGCGACCACTCGGATATGGCGACCACTCGACAATTGCGACCACTCGGATATGGCGACCACTCGACCATGGCGACCACTTTTCCTTGTCACGGACGCATTCACGTTCAAAACACCTCGGATAAGGCGACCACTCGCTCAACGCGACCGACGACCACCCACCCGCGACCGCGTTGCACAGTGCTAGTCATGTAAATGTACGCATTGCATGGTGCACCATGCATGGTGGATCTACAAATCAGCCAGTGCAGGAAGTGTAGATGTACATGGTGCATGCACGACATTTGACAGGTGTGAGGACCCCAGGCACATGAGTCGTGCTAGAGTAGCATAGGCGTGTGCACTGTGATGCACTGATCAAAACGATGTATCACAGGTGGATATGGTCAGGTGACCCACTGAACCTGGATAAGAAGACCACCTGGCCACGGCGACCACTTTTTCTCGTCCATTGAGGGGTCGCCTTAGACAGGTTGTGTCACTGTATACATGTCATGTGCTAGTAGTCTAGTACATGTACATGTATACGTCACGAATGCTGATGCCTACAAACAGGGGCCTCAATCTACTCCAACTCCTAGTGACTATCAAATCCTGCACAGCCAGTTGGTTTTCCTGCACGGCCCGTTGGTTTTCCTGCACAGCCAGTTGGTTTTCCTGCACAGCCAGTTGGTTCTCCTGCACAGCCCGTTGCTTTTCCTGCACGGCCCGTTGGTTTTCCTGCACAGCCCGTTGCTTTTCCTGCACAGCCCATTGGTTTTCCTGCATGGCCCGTTGGTTTTCCTGCACAGCCCGTTGGTTTTCCTGCACAGCCAGTTGGTTTTCCTGCACAGCCAGTTGGTTTTCCTGCACAGCCCATTGGTTTTCCTGCACGGCCCGTTGATTTTCCTGCACAGCCCGTTGGTTTTCCTGCACAGCCCATTGGTTTTCCTGCACGGCCCGTTGGTTTTCCTGCACAGCCCGTTGGTTTTCCTGCACGGCCAGTTGGTTTTCCTGCACAGCCCGTTGGTTTTCCTGCACGGCCCGTTGGTTTTCCTGCACAGCCCGTTGGTTTTCCTGCACAGCCCGTTGGTTTTCCTGCACAGCCAGTTGGTTTTCCTGCACAGCCCGTTGGTTTTCCTGCACAGCCAGTTGGTTTTCCTGCACAGCCCGTTGGTTTTTCTGCACAGCCCGTTGGTTTTCCTGCACAGCCCGTTGGTTTTCCTGCACAGCACGTTGGTTTTCCTGCACAGCCAGTTGGTTTTCCTGCACAGCCAGTTGGTTTTCCTGCACAGCCAGTTGGTTTTCCTGCACGGCCAGTTCGTTTTCCTGCACAGCCAGTTGGTTTTCCTGCACAGCCAGTTGATTTTCCTGGGGGGGGGGGGGGGTAGGTAGACACCGGGTCACAAAGGTGCGAAGGTGACTAGAAAAAAGGTGTGAATTTTGTCACCTTGGATGACTCGCAGTGCTGGGGTTGACTATGCAGCGCAGACAATGTGACTAAGCTAGTAGTGGTGCAGTGCTATGCATACATACATGCACAAGTACAAGTACGGCATACTCGATAACAGCATAACGAGTAGCGATCATAGAGATAACGAGTAAGTTCCGAGTAATCGGTGTACTCGTTTCATCCCTAAATTATTCTGAGTCTGTTGTCTGCTTCGCCGGTGTCTTCTACCTCTGTGACAACAATTGTTTTTTGCTTGCTTTGCACTTTCGGACTCTCCTGCACTCGATTATTAAGTCGTAGTTGAGTCACCAATTTTTCTCATCTTGGTGCGTGTTTGTGTGTGTGTGTGTGTGTGTGTGTGTGTGTATGTGTGTATGTGTGTGTGTGTGTGTATGTGTGTGTGTTTGTGCTCACTTCTGTTGAATTGCAGTATACCGAGAGTTGCACGGTTATTACTACTGCGCGTACGTTGATGCAGTCATTAAAACAACACAGGAAGGATACCAACATAATTACTTGGACCCTGTTTGCCAAGGTCATGATGCGCGATCTCTTCGGAAGGAAACGGTACATCACACTGCTTGTGACGGAATGAGAACACGTATGGGACACTCCTGGACAACCGCTAGACATCATAATACCCCTGGTGTGTATGATTACTACAGCACAGTTGGTTACGGCCTCAATTGGGGTGCTAAACAACATGTGGCCTGCGAAATACGTGAGTCGTTTGCTGGCGGGTTGTTTGCATTGCTGTCTGTATGATTATATTGCTGTCTGTATGATTACATTGCTGTCTGTATGATTACATTGCTGTCTCTATGCTTGCCTTTCTGTCTCTATGCTTGCCTTGCTGTCTCTATGCTTGCCTTGCTGTCTCTATGCTTGCCTTGCTGTCTCTATGCTTGCCTTGCTGTCTCTATGCTTGCCTTGCTGTCTCTGTGCTTGCCTTGCTGTCTCTATGCTTGCCTTGCTGTCTCTATGCTTGCCTTGCTGTCTCTATGCTTGCCTTGCTGTCTCTATGCTTGCCTTGCTGTCTCTATGCTTGCCTTGCTGTCTTTATGCTTGCCCTGTTGCCTCTATGCTTGCCTTGCTGTCTCTATGCTTGCCTTGCTGTCTCTATTAATAAGCAGATTTTCAGAGAAACAGGGAGAGAGATGGGCAGGCAGGCCAACAGACTAGACAGGTATAGAATGAAAATATGGCGATAGTGATCCGTCTGACCGCAAAGGTTCATGCTGTGTGGAACAGCAGCAGTGCGAATTTGGGCCGGGTGCGGTACGGCCCGTACGTCGCTGGGCAACGCATTCCAGAGCCTAGCTCCCTGGAACGTGAGACAACCCATACCCAGCTCAGTGCGGGTTGGCGGTGGTCTTAGACCCATGGAGGATTGGAGCCGAGTAGGAGAGCCACTGGCTGGTAGCAACAGCACTTGCAGTGTAGGTCTAGCACGGGAGTAGCGGCAGCGCCAAACAATGAATATGAGCTTCTGGATGAAGATCTCCCGGACACGGTATGCGAAGAGTTGTACTAGAAGGTTTCTGGCAGAGGTGCGCGGCGAGCATCCGTACACAGCTCGAGCTGCACGATTCTGCAGAACTTGGAGATGGTCCAGGTGCTTACCCGCCAGCAATGCTGAGAAGGCATTGGAGCCATACGAGAAATCGGGCATGATCACAGACTTGAAGTATTGGATGCGGCTTTGCATGCTGAGACAGCGGCGCATCCGCCACAGAACACCAACTTTCTTGTTGAGGCGAGCAACGCACCTATTCATCTGGGTGTTCCAAGACATGGCGCTGTCAATGTTCACTCCGAGGGAGCAGAAGAGACAGATGGCAGCTTAGTCGCACGACACCATACGTCCAGTTCAGTTTGCGCTTCTAGCTTCCCAGCCGGTACAACCAATGCCTGACTTTTTGATGCATTTTAAAAGAATCAAACCCCGCTGCTTCAGCCAGTCAGCAATGCATATCACTGCTCTGGAGAGAGTGGCGGTCAGCTCCTGTTGTGTTGGGCGACTGCAGGTCAGTGCGATATCATCTGCAAACTGGATGGACTCAGCTTGCTGGGCACCCGGGTGTAAAGGCTGAACAGCAGTGGACCTAATACCGACCCCTGTGGTACTCCACAGGAGCAGGCTGCCACTGTGCAAGACCATTGGACAATACAGTCAAACTACGATTCAAGAACGTAAAGTAGTGGACAGTATAGTGTAACTTGTAGTTTCTTGGTCTTTTCTCTTTTGTATACTCAAGTAAAATTAATCCAAATATATTTTCTGACATGATTTCCTAAATAAAATTTCCGGAATTTCAGTCAGCGCCGCCCGTCAAATTGATGGAATTAAAAAAAGAAAAAGAAGAAAGGCTTCTCATCCCATCTGACTATGCTTGTTGCATGTTCCAGTGAAGAAATAATCACGAAAAGAACCAAATAAGAAGCGAAAAAAGAAGAAAAACACTGTTTCATTCGTACCTGATGATGGTAATGTTGCCGAAACGTTGTACTTTAAGAATTGGTTCGGTACTTTGCAGCTCTTTGGGAGTGTTTGTGTCCACCGTACAACTTTATACAAAATGTTGTGTCTTGGCGCAATAGAGTTGCACTCATGTGATCTGGAGTCGTGTGTACGTCATAGAAAACTGTAACTTGCAGTAAAGTACAGTGTTCTATGCAACAATTTTCACCTGGTGTGATGTACGCTTGCGTCGTCTTCACCAGGACAAAACAAAGTCAGCTGAAGAAGCCTAGAGGAAGAGAATGATCCTCTCCACTCCTCAATCAGGATAGTCATAGTTACGAAATGAAGTATCTAAACGAATCCACCAGAACACTTCACAAGTACGCACACACCAACATTTGTGTGAGATTTTAGCTGACAATCAAAGGGTATGAGGAGCACATAAAAATCCGCCAAGTACATAGTATAGAAAAGAAAAAAGGACCAAGGAATTACAAGTAACACTAAATGTCCACTAACACCACCAGTTACTAAACAATCAGCTTATGCGATAACATTATATGAAAGCTTTAAAGGTCGGGACCCTACGCTGTGCTTTTTTGCCCAGCTCATCCTGAATGTTATGCGAGCTGATGGAAATGTTTTTATAATACAATGACAGGACAGAACTGTTCTGTATTACGCTCTGCCTCCGCCATGGTGTTGAGCACTGTCAGCACACTGGGTACACCCTGCACTGTAATGCAATGATGTAGCCGATAAAGTAATGTCCTTTGCATAGTGGCCTAGATTGCGTAGATGACGGCCGTATGCCTACGGACCGCAGTCACAGCATACCAAACAAGTTCGGTCATGATCACATGTTTTCTCCTGCCGACTGCATGCCTGTTCAGCAGTCCCGTCCTTTGCATAGTGCCATAGATTGCGTAGATGACGGCCGTATGCCTACGGACCGCAGTCACCGCATACCAAACAAGTTCGGTCATGATCACATGTTTTCTCCTGCCGACTGCATGCCTGTTCAGCAGTCTCTTGCTCTCAACACATCTTTTCACGAAGTCGACGAGTCTCCAAACGACGGGATATTTGCTCCGCTATTTCTTGTGGTCGGCATAGCCTTTCACAAGCATGGTGACTCTCGAGGCGGCGGGACCTCTCTTCTCCCATCTTCTACTCTCTGTGAAGGCAATCCTGCCAATGCCATCTGCTCAGAGCGCCAACACTGTCACCCCTGTCATTTTGCTCTTCCTCATAGTCCTCTGATCTCAGCATTCTATTTATACAACAACCGCGCCCATTAAAACACTGCAATATACCCAATCCTTGCATTTCCGGCCCATTAGCAGCGCACCCAAAAACATTCGATCGATAATGCGATAATGTGACACCGTAACCTTGATGAGGTAGGCAGAAAAGCAAAGCGATGTTATTTTTCTTCATTTCTCCGATTTGTACGGGATAGCGCCAGGCATGCCCGATGACACAACAGACAGTTACCGAATTAAAGCTGTATGGACCCTGGCTAGCGCCAGACGTCTTTTGCATAGCTACGGGAATAAAAAAATTCTAAATTTGGGACTTCACGGAGAATTTCAAAAAGTATTGGGAAATTAGAGGCCACATGCCACGTACTGCTCTTTTCTCTCCGAAACCAAACACTTTCAAGCCAGATATGAAAGAAAGAAAAAATCATCAGTCACACCACCGGGACTCGAACCAGGGACCTTGTTATTCGCGAGGGCCCTCTTGATTGGTGTGAGTTGCCAGTATGATGCAAGCCAGATATTGACTGATCGAAGAAGGATAGATTTACCATCACTGTGGATAAGAGTCATACTGTAGCTCAGTTGGGTAGAGCATTGCTCGCGAATAGCAAGATCCCTGGTTCGAGTCCCGTAGGTGTGACTGATGATTTTTCTTTCTTTCATATCTGGCTTGCAAGTGTTGAATTTCGGAGAGAAAAGAGCAGTACGTGGCATGTGGCCTCTAATTTCCTAAAAAATATTATAATTCTTATCTTTTTTGAAATTCTGTTATATTAAAAAAAAAAGAGGACCATAAGTTTACAAGTTCTTCTTCTTGTCCAACACTAACAATTATAAGCAAGATACTGTTGAGTCAAAATGTGCAACAATTAGAACAAAACCGATTCATGTGTTAAGTACCAAGTTGGAAGGCTGTTGGTTTGCGCATTCCAGACGTGATGCAGCTAAGCATCAGTTCGTTGAATGTCAGTATCACATCAGTCAGTGGTGGACAAAACGGATAACTTGTAAACTCATGATCCTCTCTTTTTTTCATTTCAATCGTGGGCTCTCCATCCGAGTTTTTCTGTTATCAATAAATTTTCGCTTTTCTGCTCCAAACAGCAACTGCATTTCTCGATGATTGCTAAAAAACAATACTCTCCATTCTTTTATACTCATATCATCTTCATGTCCCTCTTCAAACTCTGTCGTGTCGCAGCATGCAACCGTACTGCTGGTGATCGCATTGCTGATATCTCTGTCGAAGGGAAGGTTACCTGTGAGTTCGGGTATGAGTACCTGCATAGTGAGCCAGTGTGCGAGGGGACAAGAATGGTTAAACAATGCACTGGTAAGTCTGCTAATGGTTAGAGAAGAAATGATCCCCTAGATTCAAAAGGGGGGCTTATGTCATGTCTGAACATTTTGAGTTATCTATACTGTGGCATTGCTGTATCCCAACAGATCACTATGTAAAAAAAAACCTACAGGTAGTTACAAAATCTTCATCTTTCACAGTGTCATGCGTGGTTCCACTGATTGAATTATACATCGTTTTATGTGGAAAACTCAACTTTCAAATGCATGCTTCTCAGCACTGCGCGAAATGACGCAAGCCCCCTTTTCGGATCTAGAGGCTCATTACATTGGATACATGGCCTTACAGATAGGCGATGTGTGTATAACAATTTTAATGACAGCAACACATAATTGGGTTAACTGTTCACTGTGCTCATACATGTTGCTGAGTATGCTTGGCCGCAGTTTGCCAGTAAGGAATGGCTTTAGCGTGATGTGATTCATTAATGAAATTGCTCATATGGACCTAATGAACAAGACTTTGAGACTGATATCGCCATCATAATATGGGCACCATTGCCCGTTTGGTCTGTGATACAAAATAAAAAATTACAACATATGACAAGTAGAACATTGTCAAAAATTCTTAACAATCTTAAATCACATAAAGCCACACAATGAAAACCTTGGCAAATTCATTCCGTTGTGACTCAGAGTTTCATGGCTGAACCGATCATCAGACAACGAAATCACATAAATATGCTATGTTGCAAAAGGAGGTCGGAGGCTGACAATAATTTCCAAACAAGTCCACGTGTTGACAAGCTACAACCCAATTTTACACACCCAGTCAACACAGCACTGCTCATAAGTTATCAAACATTTTCGTTCATCTCTCGTCAAGGATAATGCAGAGAATGGCTGAATTTGGAAAGACTAAAACTTTCAAAGGGTAAAGATCAAGATAACCACACTCGTGACAAGGTGGTAATTTATCAAGTTTTCGAAAGAAAAATTAATGGAAATGAAAATGACACCAACAAAGAGGAGCAAACTCTGGAGCACATGTGCCTTGCATTTACCCGCTACAGAAGCTCTGTATATTTATTATCTTTTATTTTATTCCAGGCAATACGTGGCTGGGGTAGCCAATGACCACTTTGCGTGGCGGTTGTAGGGTTTTTATAGCCAACCACGGCTAACAAGGAAAAGAGTCAGAAGTCAGATAGAAAATAAGCCCACTCATACCACGAAAACAATTGAACAATATTTTATAATTTGAACGTCGTTTTCATGTGATGATCATCAGAATTTTTCATCACAATGATAGTAGGACAACAAAGGAAAGATAGTTATGGTACCATAAATGATCTGATCATATTATTCGGATGATTATCACGTGAAAATGACGTTCAAATGAAAAACAATGTCATATTGTTCAATTGTTCTCGTGGTATGAGTGCGCTTATTTAACTTTCGTTGATATTAGGTTTCTTGTCCCCACTCCCTAGTTGGGTGGTCTGTTGCGTTGTTGAGTTGTAATAAGGCCGGTATGTCTAATAGTCTTACTAGTTTCGTCATCATTCATGCAGTAACTGTGGGCATTCTTTGTTGCCGTCATGCGTAGCTCGTGCTCTTCTTCGTTGCGCTTTCCTTCCCCTCTTGGACCTATCCAAACCTGAGCCTTCCAAGTTGGAAGGTTGTTGGTTTGCGCCTAGGAGAAGTGTTGGAGCTAGGTGTCAGGTGGCCGAATGTCTCAGTACTCCTTGTCAGTTTTGTGCCATTTTGTCGCACTCGCTGACTGTATAAGATCTGGTTACGTTGGTGGACAGTTTGTCATAACTCGTAACATTTTGTCCTTTTCCGTTCTTCATCATAATTATAATCGGCTCACCATCCGAATTCAATCTTTAAGGGAGGGCACGATTGTGAATTTCAAGTTTCTGCTGTTGGTCAGTAGATAGATTATGTCCTGGCTCTACAGCAGTAGTCAAAATGTGGCAAGATATATACGAAGGAAAAGAAAATGTGTTGTTAACCGCAATCAATAAGACAAGCTGAATTGACATTTGTGTATACTTTATTCATGCAATGCAAGACGGTGGAGACAATTTTGCTATAAAACGGTGAAAGTAGGGAGAAATAGTGTAGAGAAATTTTAGGATTCTGTTGTGTAACATACACACAACAATTATTGACGACAACGTGTACTCCTCACCCAGCACTCACAGTGGCGACTCTGACAGTAATATATATAATAGGACTGGTAGTTGGAACTGAATTAGTTAGTAATGATACAGGGAAAACAACAACCGAACTCAATCTTGGGAGGGCTAATCAACTGCGGAACAAAAACGGAAAAATCTCTGGGATCTGGCAGACGACGAAACAATTTGAAACTAGACAAATTGACAGTCAGTGAGTCAGAGAAAAGGAAAACATGATATTAGCAAGAGAAGAAAGAAACAAAGCATGCGCGGAGAATACAGAGCATGGATAGAAGAACAGAACGGTAAGCAAAGTCTCAAACGAAGAACACGACGTACAAATTCAAAGCAATCAATAGTTGTGCATTGTGGTAATACCTGTGTATACGTATGGAGAAAGAGGCGAACTATTCTACTTCAGTTCAAACAAGTTTTCGTACAACACCCATCAGGAATCGTCGTTGTACTAAAGGACGCAGAACAAATCGAACTATTATAGAAAACCAAAGTTAGAGAAAATTAATAACACCAAGAACAACAGCAGTGAAATTTACAAGTGTGAATTTTAACAATGACAGCAAGAGCGTCCATGAATATTGTCTCCTCCCTCTTTATTTAAAAATGTGTTGTCTTTGAAACTTTAGTGTTACTCCTCGTAGAGGTGTAAACAAATCCAGGGTTTGCTTACTTTGTGGGTGTAATTTTCATTTTCTTTTTTCTTTCGAAATTTGTGTCATTTCGTGTCAAAGTGTGCCATTCCCTGTATTATCCCTGACGAGAAGGGTATGAAAACGTTCGACAACTTATGAGAATAGACTCAGATGAAGAGCCAATGATTAATATTTTATGGTAAAAAAAGGAGAAGGACAAAATGTTACGAGTTATGAGACATTCAGCTGATTAATTTATAGTAAAGAACCTCTCTGTTTGAAATAAAAGAACCAAGGAACCAAGGAACAAGTTACGCTATAATGTCCACTAATACCACCAGTTACTTGACAATCAACTCACAGTGAGATAACCTTCCAAGATGGAAGGCTGTTGGAGTGCGCATCCAAGACGTGCTAGAGCTGATAGCCAGTTAGTTGTAGAACGTCAGTACTGCCGTTCAGTTTTATGCAATGTTTGAATTCTTTATTCTCACGATGGCACCATCGGCAATAAGAGATACATTTATGAGAAGGTGAGATGCTGTGGGTGGGGCCGTGGGTTATGCAGTTGGAAAGTGATTTACATCACCTTGAGTTTTACAAGTATGGGAGAGGGTGAAGGGCATTGTAGAATTCTAGGGACTTGTACAGCAGGGAGTCTTTACAACGATCGGTTCTGGAGGGTGGGAGGTGCCGAATGAGTACGTGTCGAAGTCTATACTGGGCCATAACTTGAGCGGGGGTGTTGAGCATGCGTATGTGTTGTGGGGCATATTGGTATTTTATGGAGTGGGCAAGAAGGGTGAGCTTCACTTTGCGGCGAGAGAACATTGTCGGCCATTTGAGCCGATGGAGCAGTGTTGAATGATTCAGAGGGGTGTAGAGGGGGAGAGAGAGGCAGATTCTGGCCACCTTGCGCTGGATTCGCTCAAGACGGTCAAGGGCTGCGATTGAAAGCGGGGTGGCAGCAATGCATGCATATTCAATTATAGGCAGGATATAATGTTTTGTAAATGAGAGAGAGAGTGATTTAGTGTGTAGAGTTGATTTGAGCCTAAAGAGAATATTAAAAGATTTTACGGCTTTCTTCAGCACAAAGTCAAGGTGGGCTGACCATCTTAGGTCGTGCTGAAAGATGATGCCGAGGTTACGATGTTGTGTTACTGTTTCTAGTAGAGTTTGTCCAAGTTTCATTTCGGGTAGTCGTGGTGGGGGTCGGTTAGTATGGTAGAACGGGAGGATGACGGTTTTCGTTTTATTGACTAGCAGGTGCCAGCGCTCTAGCCATTCTGCGGCGGCATCCACGCTTCTTTGTAGCACAGCGTCACACTCAACGTAGCTGCCTGCAATGGCAATAAGTGCGGTGCCGTCCGCGAACTGGCTACACGAGGTTGTAGCATTTTCACAGGCAGTGGGCAGGTCAATGGGGTACGCCAGGAACAGAAGTGGTCCCAGGACAGAGCCCTGGGGCACTCCCGCTGGTATTGGTATGAAGGCGGATGTTGTGCCTTTAACTTGCACCCGCTGTCTGCGTCCTGTCAAGTAGGCTTCGAGCCACTTGTGAGCCTTGCCATTGACACCGTAGTGGCTCAGCTTTTTCAGCAAGCCTTGATGCCATACGCGATCAAAGGCTTTGCTGAGATCGAAGAAACACGCAACAACATGCTTCCCCGCATCCCTAGCTGTGGATATCTGGTGGACGATCCGTGCGAGTTGCAGTTCGGTCCCGTCTTGTTTCCTCAAGCCGGATTGGTTGGAGTTATCGCATGAGCTGACTGTCAAGTGCCTGGTGTTATTATTATTATTATTATTATTATTTTTATTATGCTTGCTCGCATTGACATCACGAAGCAGGCTTGGTTAGCCTTCGCATATGCCAAATGAACAAAAGAAAAGGGGAACGAGCGGAGCCAAGGAGTAGCACACACGCATGCAACTGCAGAATCGGCAAAAAAAGGAGTAAAGAAGACAATCCTAAAAACATGCAAAATGTCAGCTATTTACTTCAATAAATATAACTGGAAACGGCTGACTGCAAAATATCAACTATTTACTTCAACAAATAAGACAGGAAAAGGATGAATACAGATATCCTTACAGCTGACAGTACATACATGTACATGTAGTGGCGAAGTGACTTAATAGTGATACGAGTATACATGATAACAACTACAGCCGCGAACTATGTA